GATTGCAATATGTCTATTGTCAGGTGCAATGCATTAAGTGTCTATGTAACTTAAGGTACAATATATTTTTTTTTATTGAGTAGAGTACAAAATATGGTATTAAAGTACAGTGGCACAAAATATGTTTTTGGTTACTGTGGGGTACATGTATTTTTGCACCATAATGAAATATATGTTCAGAATACTACTAGCTGTTATATGTAAAATAAATTTTATTTTTAGGTCACCTGAGTAAACTCAGGTGACCTATTGCTATCTGTTTTCGTCCGTCGTCGTGCGTCGTTCGTCGTGCGTCGTGCGTTAACATTTGAACATTTTCAGCTTCTTCTCTGCAACCACTGAACCAATTTCAACCAAATTTGGAACAAGCATCTATGGGTGAAGGGGAATAAAAATTATGAATTTCATGATCCCTGCCCCCCTGGGGCCTGAGGGGTGGGGCCAAAACCACTAAAATTAGTGCAATCTTTAAAAATCTTCTTCTTTACTCCTGGACATCAAGCAGTCAAACTGTTTGCATGATTGCAATCAGCAATGAGTCCTCTACCAAAATTGTGAAATTCATGGCCCCAGGGTCAGGGGTTCTAGTGCTAGGGCGGGGCTAAATAAGTAGGTAGTGAAAATGCATTATTTCTTTGAAAATCTTCTTCTCTGCTCCTGGGTATTAAATAAACCAACTAAGTACATAGTTATGATGAGCAAGAGTGCCTCTACCAAAATTGTGAATTTTATGGCCCCAGGGTCAGGGGTTCTGGTGTTAGGGCGGGGCTCTATTGATTATATAGTGAAAATACATTAATTCTTTGAAAATCTTGTTCTCTGCTCCTGGGTATTAAATAAACTAACTAAGTACATAGTTATGATAAGCAAGAGTGCCTCTACCAAAATTGTGAATTTTATGGCCCCAGGGTCAGGGGTTCTTGTTTTAGGGTGGGGCTCTAATATAGTGAAATGTATGAATTTTGAACATCTTATCCTTTGCTCTTGGTTAATATGCTAATGATCTAATTACATATCTAAGGCCAGGATTTATTTTATTTTCAGTTTTACAAACCCTCCGCTCAAGGTTTTGAACTTTTAGAAAAAAAAACAAACAATTTTTTTCTTTCCGATGTCAAATTTGAGTCGGGATCGAGATTTCAAATTTACGAACTCGCACTTCCAGTTATTAGATGAAACGGCGGGTAAATAAAGCTAGATCCAAGAATTAAGCATGATTTAGTGTAAAATTCATCGATAAGAGTGCCATTCAAAACGTTTCACCCGTTCAAAGGACAAATTAAATGCTAACGACTTTGTTTCACAATGACATGCTTGTGAGATAATTATGTATTCGTTTCAAAAGTAACTGTAAATTATTTTCCTCCCCCAGGTTTTAAACTGCCCGTGGTAGCTATTGCATATTGCCAGGGACATTGTTTAGGTCTCTGTTATAGCTTACAGTCTAAGCATCATTCTTCAGAAAATGGTTGCTTATGCATCAGATGTAATGAATAAAACTATGGGAGAAGTGAAGTCCATTGAGGAAGAAATAAACAATAACCTGAAGTGAAGAAATAAAAAAAAATTCAACTATTAAAAGGCAAGAATATACAAATATATGTAGTATCATTTGTGTCAGCCAGAAAAATTATTTTACACTTAATTGAAAAAATGTTGACCCTACTCCCCAATACTTCCTGTCTGTTTTAATGATAGGAATTATAATTTTAGGCATCAAGTAAATTTTAGAACAATTAATGTCTACACATTCACCTAACACATATTAAGAAAATGAAGATGTATTGAAAGATTTTTAAAGAATTGAATTTTTAAAATATATTTTGATCAACATCACAAAATTTATATAACTGGCCCAAACTGGCAGATGATGAAATAAGCAATTAAATGTTCTACTTTCCTATTTGTAAGCATTATGTGTCCAGTGGTAAGGTCAGCCTATTAAGATTATAGCATAAAAAAGAATGTACAAATTAATGTTAATAATTGATTTATCAAAAAAATTTATTTCCTTTTCCTTTGGGACTTTTTTATTCTCATGTTCATAACTAAACCTAAACATAAAAAAAAAATGCTGGCCTTATAATGAAGAAAAGGTCCTCTTTCAAAATAGATAATTTCAGGGCTGCTGGGTCAGGGGTACCAAGGGGGTACTTTGACTAAAAATAAATTTATGCTTTGAAATCTGCCCTTTGATAAGCTATGGTGCCTCTTTCAAAAGTCGTGAATTTCATGGCTTTTGGCTTAAAACACTACCCAAATACAATCGCTGGAAAGTTGTTACATGATACTCAGGTGACCTATAAGGCCCGTGGGCCTCTTGTTCTACAAAAATATTAAGTTAAATTACTACACATATGGCTTGTTGCTTACATTCAATTTTTATACCTGCTTTTAGATAATTGCATGTTTTGAATCGGCATTTAAACATGATTATTTGTCTAATGATTAAACTTGCTTGATCTATATGATTTCTGGTCTATTTTTTTGTCCTTTTTACAATTACGAATTATAAAACAATATAAAGCACTACACAGCATGATGTGTTATTACAGTATGATGTGTATGTATATAATTATCTTAAATTCTCCTGAATATATATTTCAATCACTCTGCAACCATGCAATTACTGTAGATCACTTAATTTTCGCGACACCTTATTTTCGCGAGATAGTCATTGACTATTTATTAGCGAGACAAAATTTTCACGAATCGTGGTTACTGCTCTATATAATCATAAGGAATTCTATTATACGCGAGAATTAAATTTTCGCGAGCATGCCGTGTCGCGTAATTACGCGAAAATAAAGTTGTCGCGAATAAAAAGTGATTTACAGTAATAACATTAGTGTAACATGCACTTTTTATCAATCAACTGAATTATGTGTATTTATCAACAGGCAGCCCTACTCCATGACACTGTGGAAGATACTAACACCACATTTGAAGAAATTTTGGACAATTTTGGGGAAGAGGTCACAGGTACATGTAAAAAAAAAAATGGAGAGTGAGATACATGTAAAGAAGGGGGGGGGGGGGGAGAGAAAGATAGAGAGAGGGGGGAAGGGAGGGAGAAATGTAGGTGGAAAGGATTGAGGGAAATTGAGCCTAGGTTCACCAGTTTTATTTATTCGGTCCAAAATTCTTCTAATATCAGTTCATGTACATGTAAATGAAATATAACAGAATTTCCTCTCCAAAAATATATATTTAATGACATATTGTAAGATTTGTTTACATTCAGCCCAGCTGTTGCAGAACCAAAGAGATTGCGATGACCCCTCCCACATCTACTCCCCGGCCCCGCCCCCCCCCCAAAAAAAATCATTTACATGTATTTAGATCTGTTAGTCAATTTGACCTCAGAAGATAAAAAAAAACGTACATGCTGAATGTCTGTATTCCTTTGTTAACTTTTAGGTCTTGTAAGAGAAGTAACTGACGACAAAAATCTTCCCAAGCTTGAACGGAAACAGCAGCAAATCGACCATGCTCCCCACGCAAGCTACAAAGCCAAGCTGGTCAAGCTCGCTGACAAGCTGTACAATCTACGAGATCTCAATCGGTGCACACCTTGCGGATGGCAGGAAAGCCGAGTAAAAGAGTATTTCCAGTGGGCCAAAAAAGTTGTGGATGGTCTCAGGGGAACTAACCAGGCCATGGAAAACAGTTTGGATGAATTGTTTAAAGAAAGGGATATTATGTAATGTTGTTGAAACCTGTTGTATTTTGCATATTTTATATTTTTATCAATCTCAGTTGATTGATAAAAAGTGCATTGATTTTATCTTTTAAAACACATTTTTGAATAATTTTTAACTTTTAAATGAAAATTAGTCAGAATTGTTTTTGAATTTGTTGACAATATCCACTCTTAGGCAAGAGTTGCCAAAATGTTTTTATATAAAATATTGTGTATAGTACAACTTTATTTTGAATGTTAAGAAATATATTTTTTTAACACTAACAAATACATGTACATGTACCGGTATATGCAAAATAGAAATTTTCATTTCTCCTTTGAAAATTTCCCATTTACTTATTTTTAATCTGACCCTCCCTTTGATGTTGGCCTAGTACATGTAAACAGTGATTTTCTCCCCCTTTCAATATTACGATTTAATTCTTTTAAAAATTTTTTTTATGAACATATGTTTGAAATTGGGTCATGATACACAACATGATAAATTTTTTTACAAAATTTATTTTTGAATGCCATTACGCATATCTATATGCAATCTTGTTAATTCATTTTACTTCCTGAATTATTAACTTTTTCAGTTTCTTAGAAGTACATGTAATTAGGCCATGATACATGTAATACAGATTTGCTGGAGTCGATGAACATCATGAAAAATTAGAAATTTTACCATTTTGATATGAAGATGAATAATTTGTAATTTTTTAGCCGAGTGACATGACTTTCTTACAATGTGTCTTTGTTATTATTCCAAATATTGTTGAGTCTATTTATTTTATACATGTATGTTTTTTTCTGTTGATATTTCCAATTTTTTTTATACTCAGCGTGATTTGATATTAGTCCTGCAACATAGAAAACTTAAAATTGCCAATTTTCATGGAGGTTTAATTTTTGTTTTCATGTGAAAGAAATTCAAATATTACTGGTATAAAAACATAACATCGCAAGAAATCTTTAACATGAAGGATTTACAAGGAAATCAAAGCACTATGAACTAATTTATTTCCTCAAGCCACAAAAATTTGACCCCATGAAATGTGAATTTATAGTTACATGTACAGTGGAACCTCATTTATTCGGACGCTTTGGTTCCTTGTCAATTTGTCCAGATTTATAAAGTGTCCAAATACCTGAATCACCAGTTAAACAAGACAAAATTACATTTAAAAAATCTGTTCCGATGAAAAATTGTCCTGATACTGAAGCATCTGGATATCTGGCATTCGGATATCTGAAGGTCCACTGTACTTGGTTGTTTGTGCATGTATGTAGCACTGTAACCCGCCCCCCTCCCCCTTCCCAAAAACCAAAAAGATATTAATTTGAAAACTGGTTTAACTTAGATATTTTGTTTGAAAAAAAATAACTGTTTGTTTCATTTGTAATTTCATTTAGTATTAGACAATTAATGTATTAAATAATTATATCAATAATTGAATATCATATTTTCTTTGATGTTTAGCTACTTCTCAATTTTAATTAAATTATCTAAGTAAAATTTATATGATCACTAAATATGCAAGATGCATATTAAGTGAACTTGAGTTTATTACTACATTTACTTGTTATTTTTTTTTTTAAAAGTTAATCATCTGCTAGAAGTGCTACAAGATACTAGTTCTGTAAACCTATATATGAATGAGAAATATCCATAAGTCTTGGCTGTCTTCTTTTACATGATTGTACTAAAAAATAGTCATAGCGAACCATTCATATACCTAAATGAAGGTGCTTCAATCTCGAATATTATAAATCATGGGTGGATTCCAAAATGAATAAAAGATGTTGCAAATAACAATTGGTAATTAAATAAGTACTACTTGTTTTACTTATTAACAGTTCTGAATAACAGTTCATGTTAATATAAAAGATGTAGATTGATGTTCATATATTTTAAGTGAAAGATACTGTATACAGGGTTATTTTCGCCCGTGTTATTTTCGCCCTTTCACATCTGAAAACAAGTTTGCCCCGTTTTAAATTAATTCACCCAAAAATTTTTTTGTTTAAGATAATATACAGTTTACTTTGAATTCGCACCGTTTTAAATTCGCCCACGCCAGACTACAGCGAAAGGGGCGAAAATTAAACGGGGGCGAAAATTTCCCTGTATACAGTATTTGTTTGTGCAGAAGAATTGTAGTGTTTTAAAGAAATACTCATTCTCTTGAACAGACCATGACAAATATGATCATTAAAACATTTTTAAAACATTTATGTCTGAACTATTTTCTATTTGTAAGGATTTTTGCCCTGTGGCTCTGATCTACTCTTCATTACAATCAAACTTCGTTTATTGAACCTGACGGGACTGAGAAAAAACTTTGAGATATCCCAGAATTCAAGATATCAAAGGTTAAATACTTTTAGATTTGAGATATCGGAGTTCGAGAAACTGAAGTTTAACTGTGTATGTACTGTCAAAATGTGTCTGGTTTGAAAGTACATTGTACATGTATTTTCATTCAAAATCATAAAGTACAGTCAAATCTTGTTCTCTCAAACTCAGTGGAACTGAGAAAAACTTCCAGATATCCAATGATCTGAGATATCAATTGTAAAATACTTAAAGAATATGTGGCTGGGACTTCCAAATCACTTTGACATATCCATGGTATTCGAGATATCCATGTTCCAAATACCGAAGTTCAACTGGACATGTATATTGGTTGCAAAATATATTTAACATAAGCCCTAATTGAATTGACCTGTAAATAGCAGATACATGTAATTTCTTATGTAACCCACACTGCACTGTAGTACTGGAATTTTGAAGCAACCACTCAATTTTTGAATTATCATTCATTACTTCAGATACTTGTTGAAGAGTCCTTTATTTTAATACACTTAAAAGCCTTTGCCCAAGGTTTTCTAAATGATTTTTCAGATGCATTTTATTTTTTCTAAAAAGATGTCCTTTTTTCATCTTTTCCCTCTAGGTCACAGATATGTATCTGATTTCATCTATATAAGAGACTCTCTCCCCTTGTTTGTATACACAGTGGGCTGTAAAAATCCCCCATCTTTGTCTAAAATTAGAGACTGGGGGAAATAGAAATTGCCTTCAAGTGATCAAAATATCCACAGAGAAACCATTCAAGGCATTTGTTGAAAAATATGTATATCTTGGCGGCAAATCCCTGCCCATGGAAATCTGACCCCATTAACTTATAAAATTGCAATAAAAATTCCCTTAAGCTTGATAATGAAAACTCTGAAAATCTGCATCTATAACAAGTTTATTCAAATATTTTCACAGCTCATGATGAAATCGTTCCATGAAATGAAACTAAAAATCTGACGAGGGTTAAATGGATTTTTTTTCTCTCAAAAAAGCGTATGTATGATACTGTATAGAAAGTGCATATAACGGTAGTGACAATGTTTTTAATGTAGAAGCATGTACACACAAATACACATTATTTTTTTCACACAAGAAGTTTAAGGGGCATAACATTTTTATAAAGTGAACTTTACTTAAATTGGAGAAAAACATAACAACAACACTGAATTTGAAAATTGAATAAAGCATGCCTTGCTTTGTAATCAAACATAAAAAAAAACTGACTTTCACGTTTAGAAACAAAAATATAACAATCCTAATAACAATTTGTATTCAAGTACTCTTGTGCATTACATGACAAATATGTGCATGTCTGTGTATATTTTCTTAGATATTTTCATATAACCAAATTTTAATGTTTATCATTGTTTATATAGAGGGGGAAAAAACTGCAAAATGTGTATGGATTTTTAAATGACAAAAAAATCACTATGTTATATGGTTAATAAAACAAATCAATAATCAATTAATAACAATACACATGAATATATTTTTAATTATAGATATCTAGCTTTACAAACACATCACTCCTTCTTTATACATCCATACTCCATTCAAACACAGACAACCAATATATATCACTTTAACATTCTTCAAATGAAAACCAATCACAATTATTCAAATGTCCTCTAAACAACCAATCAGAATTCTTCTTTCAAATACCATTTACACACACAGCCAATCACAATTGTTCTTTCATCAGACACAATGAATGGACCACACACTAAAATCCCATATCAACCCTACCAATATAATGCTACATGTGTGGGAGATATAAACAATTACTCAATTAGACAGGTGGAATTGCATAAATCACCATAATTAAAAAAGAAGAAATCTGCAAATTGTATTTTACATCAAAAAATACTTTTTACTTTATAATGGGGAACATTTACAATGATCTACTTTAGGAATAAGGGAAAAGTGCACTCTTGAAAAGGTGTGTGAGGGTGTATATTTAAATGTAGAAGGAAAATTGTTTTAAAAAACGTTTTACACAAGGGATATGTGGGATATTATTATATTCAAAGTTGACCATATCAAAAGAACTAGGGAAAAAAAAGGGGGGGGGGGGTAAAAGAGGATTAAAAGGCAAAAGATTCTTATAAAGGGTTATAGTGCAAATTGAATTTTCACACAGAAAATAACATTGTGGACTTAACAAGCTCTGTACATGCACTGGTGTAAGAAGCTCCTATGTACAATTACCATTTTGTAAACAATTAATTATCTAAGTAATTAAACAATTTATCGTCCAATGTAAAATACAGAGGGGAAAATACCCACACAATTACAATATTTGAAAAATAGTCATAAACACTACATATACGTTAGATTGATATTATTAATATTATAATGTTTTCATTAATGTTACTTTTTGATACTCTAAAAGAAAAATTGAAAAATATTTTGATAGAGAGAACATAGCTTTGGAAATAAATAAAAATCATAAATAATGCTCGCCTCTGGGCAAAGTTAGCATCTGCATATTAAAAGTCTGCAAGCACTGGGGTATACTTAACATTTCAATGCATAAATTTATATAAAACTTTCAATTCAAAATGCACAGAAACACTCGTAGATCAACCCCTATGTTATTTTAAACATACAAAGAAAAAAAAAAAAAAACTGACTCTATCCCTCATATTTCCTGAAATTTTTTTTAACAATGGTTCAGAATACATATGTACATGTATGTTAATCTTTTCTCCCACAATTCTTTACTTTTCTCCCACAATTCTTTGTAAAATCACACAGACAGTGGAGTTCACATTTGCAAAAAGCAACTGTAAATGCATTTTTTCACATTAAATAATGTAAATGTCAGGGAAAAAATGTTGACATGCTGTAATAACTTTGTAACAGACTGATGGTCACACCTGAAGAATTATTTATCTTAAATACAATGTGTCTGAAAGGAAATAAAAATACTGAAAAAGTATTAGTGCTGAAAAAATATCAAAAGAAACATAAACAATATATATATTAATTATAATAAATACTTTCCAAATTCCACAAAAAAGGGGGGAAAAACAATAAACTATCAACAATTTTTTTCCTTTGAAGAAGTGAACATCTCAATCCCTTTGAATTAAAATTACCAAAAAATATATAATTTTTTTTACATGTATTTCCTTAATTCCTCCATTCTGTAAAATCTAATATAAGCTCTCTCTTTGATGTTTCTATTAATGCAAAAAAACACCCACACATTTTAAAATAAAAAGAAAAAATTTTTTAGACACAAGTGTCTGAAGAAGACAACAATATGATAACTCCTACGTTTCACGGCATTAAATTTTCTGAATTTTCTCTGCCACAATGACAGGGTTATGCTTGCGGATCTGCTCTTGTGCAAGTTCCTTGTAGTTAAAATCACATTCGTGCTTGTCCGAATATCTGTGCATACTACAAAACAAGCCTCCGCAGCGACAGGGAAAACCTGAAAATCAAATTGTTCATTAAAATAATTCGTTTAATTATCAATTAATTAAAATTAAAGAAAAATAAATTACTACATCAATTTATCAGTCATACAGAAGCTAAAAAAAATTTTACACCTTGAAACTAAGTGTTAATGAAGGTTAGATTATCCATTATTCAATGACTAAGAGCTACTTTTAAGGAGAACAAATACTCTTTTTATAGTTTAGCAGAAGAAGCAACTTTTAAGTCATATAATTGTCAATCCCCATGCTTATTCTGTAGTCATTATCAAATGCTTGACACAGATTAGAGAAAAAGTTCACTTTTCACTAAAATCACTTCAGAGCAATTCTGCAATTTTCTGCCACAAAGAGGACGGCAATGTAACTATAGTGAGGGCCTGTCCAAAATGAACCTTAGCATTTAACACCTTATCCCCATAAACAATGAATATTTCACATTTATCTCAGTGCAATTCCTTTTTTTCACCACATCATCTAGAGCTTCTAGGACTAGACGAGAAAATCAAGAAAAGTTGATAACAAAATGACCTTGTTCATTTGTTAGGAATTCTGAACGAAACAATTTGGCAGCACAATATATGCAATAAACAAACAAAAGAACTAGGAAGCATAAGTTACCTGTAAGGCCCACTTTCTTTTTACAGGTAGTACAGCGGTTCTTCTTTGATTTCTTATCATCTGGTGATGAGGCCACGTCCGTAACAACCCCTCCTACAAGTTAATAATTACTCATAATGATCCCATACATTTAAATGTTTGATTGGACCTGTTTTCACATATTATTGTCTATCAGTATTTTTCGTAAGATTTTGTCTGTGAGATTTGATGAGGCGAAATCGAAAGAGTATACAGGTCTGCACGAAAAGTTAAATATGCCTCCATCATTCTAAATACTGTATACAGGGATATTTTCGCCCTCTTCTTGATTGGGCGAATTTAAAATGGGGCGAATTCAAATTAAACAGTAGAATTTCTTAACAGAACTATGACAGGTCGAATTTAAAATGGGGCAAAATTGTTTGCAAGTGGAAAACGGAGAAAATAACATGGGGCGAAAAAAAAACCCTGTATACAGTACACAAATGCCGAGTATGTAGTTATAGTCTATTTAATTGATGATATTCAAATACAATTGATGTTTTTGATTTTTGCCATATTAGCATAATAATGTTTTTTCCCCCATCCTTACCTTTACAGAAATAAAACTCAGAATTTTATTTCATTTCTATTTTCAGTATAATTTTTTTTTCTCTGCAACTGTACTAAAATATCAGTAATTGTGTGCTTTAAGGGGTGGGTAGTGTTTTCCCTTTATTGCTTTAATTAAAAACAACAGAAGGTCAAAAGGTCAATTTTAAGAGGCCAGTCATCAAAGCTGTACAGTATCTCGTTCATATGCAATTTTAAAAATTTCTTAAATATATTCTTTACAAAGTGAAGCTGTAAATTTACCTTGTGGCCTATTTTTAGAGAAAACACTTGAGGATATGAGGGGTAAAGAACTCGTTCAATCTTTTACCACTGGGGGCATGTGGCGGGGGGGGGGGGGGGGGGGCGAGGTTGAGGAGCTCTTAATCTCTTTACCTGTAGCAACGTCCGCCTTCTCTGCCTCCTGTTTACTAGAGCTGACCCCGGGGATGGGGACAGTGGGGGTAGCGGTCTCTACACTGGGGGTGGTGCTGGCAGCCAGGTCCTTCAGGGAGTTAGAGCTACCGGACTCAGGTGTACCTACAATCACAACCACAACATGTAAATATCTATATTTAGCATTAAAACTAAGAAAACACTGTAATTTCTGGTGTCTTTTTATTTTTGCATAATTTTGAACTTTCAATAAACTGAAATATTAATTTCACTTCTTTCTCTTAAGTCATGTAAGTGTGTTAAGAACTAAAGCCTGAGTACTTTTTCCGTTCAATATATTATAAATTATTCATCTAATTAATGAATTGTTTAACATGCTAAATGCTAAGAATTACAAATTAATTAAAAACATAAAAATACACATTTACATTATAAATACATTCTGAACACTTGAAATGATTAATACTTTAAAGCAAAGCATGGGAAAAGCTGATCATGATTAAAGCCACCTACAAAACAATGATAGGGACATAACTACAGCCAGTTCACACAAGATAAAATAAAGAGGAAAGGGAAGCAAAATACTGGTACAATGTGTACCAGTATTTACCAGTGCACAAAACAGCACTGAATAAAAATTAAAGCATATCAAAAGATTTGAAAAGCATTGACACTATTTAGCTAGCATCGTTACATTAGGGTCAAGGTATAAGAATTTGAATGAACTGAACCAAGCAAGTGTTTTTAAAAAAAAAAAAAACCATCACGTCAGGCAGAAAATGTGAACAGATGATAGATGAGAAAACACCAGGAAAAAGCAAGCAAATGATCCATGGGAAAACAGACAGATGTAGGGAACTTTGGGAAATACAGTCAAACATGGGAAAGCAGACAGTTGAACAATGGGAAAACTGATGGCCAGCCAACAGGTGATTAATGGACAGATAGACAGACAATATACTGTACTTACATGTGAGCTAAAGGGAAAACGAAGGAGGAAAAGCAAGCAGATGATCAATGGGTAAACAAACAGTTCAGAATGATGGGAAAATATAAAGTCAAAATTAGAAGCAAACAGACATGCCGAGAAAAGAAAGCAGGTGATGGACAGACAGAGGTTATACCGCTCCTAAAGAGGTGAGCTTATGGGAAAACATACGAGGAAAGCAAGCAGGTGACGGGCAGACAGACGTACGAGGTAATACCGTACCTAGAGAGGTGTGAGCTAACGTCGAGGTCACGTTTCCCACCGAATCCGTTTCACCTGAGCTGCTGACAGTGGTTGCCGACGCGGGACTGAGACGGCCACTGAGGGTGGGGGCGTTCTCTTTATTCTTCATCGTATCCTTATAGCACTTGGAGCACATACCCTCGAAGGAGGAGCTACCGTAGAAACCACACCCAGCACGGCACAGGGGGGATGGGTTCTGATTTCCATTCTGTTCCATATCCATTTTTATTTTCTGAAAAATAATTTGGGGTTTATCTTTTAAGAGTACATTTTGGTTCCAAATTATCAGTATTAGCATTGTTTTAGTGACCTAGATAACGCTTACACTGCCTTACAGTTGGAGATTTGCTCCTGTTCTCAAAAAATTGACCTTGTAAAGTTTTATCACAATTCATTTAAATTTCACCCCCAAACCCTTTCAATAAAATAATTCTAGCACATGTACTAAAAAGATCATCAGCATTTGATTATCTAGTCGAATTCTTGAAACATTACTTAACATATTGTCAGATAGTGGCTTTGAAGAAACTGATAATCTTAAGAACATAATTATTACTCAGAACACATTAACATTCACATAAAAAAAGGGAGATACAGTTTTTCGTGGACATGACAAAAAGATACACTTTTAAGATTTATATTTAAAAAATTTAAAAAATCATCATATTCATCCCAATAAATGAAAAAAATCTTGAATTATTCCTGATGAAAAATGTTCCCTGACTGTAATTAAATCAGGCATTGATAATGACAATGTTAACACAATCAACACCTGCCTCTTGAATCAGGTAAGGTGACCTAATTTCTTTACAACGTTGTGATCCAGGCCTGTAACCTACATTTTCACCATGACAAATTACCAAGACATTATCAGGGTCTGACAAATCCCATTGCCCGACGCCCGGGGCTAGTGAATTTTAGAGGCGGGCAAGTGAATTTTTAATAGGCACTTGCCCGTGGGCAAGTGACTTTAAAAAAAAATCAATCAATAAATATTTTTAAAAATGTCATAGTTTTCCACGAAATTAAAATTATTTAATCAACAGATTGTATGGTACATAGTACTTAATGGCAGTTGTCACCAATATTCAAAACAACAATCCTAGGCTGCAAAATTTTTCGCTTGAGAGACAAATTAATTCATTATGATAAATATAAAGTGCTGGTGGGGCAAGTAAAAATTGAAGTAGGGCAAGTGAAATTTGACCATGCACTTGCCCGTGGGCAAGTGCCTGAAAAATCTATTTGTCAGCCCCTGCATTATCATGATTCTTATGTTAAAAATCTACTACAGTCATGCATTTTCAATACAACAATGGATATCTAATACTTACATTTCTTTTTATCCTGTTTTATATATTAAGTAAAGCCACTGTGATTAGAAATCACACGAATCTTCAAAGAAACTGAAATGACAAAAAAAAATTGATATTAATGAAAATACAGACAAGAATGAAAATGAAAGTAATTTTTAAAATAATATGATCAATGATGATGAAATTCTTTTATGAAAAAAAGAACATTAGGCATCAAATCATATTTCATAACATTGCAGAGATCAATGGGTTTTCTTTTCTTTGTTCCTGAAAAAATGTGTCTTTTAAGATCTGGACATGCTGAATTGATCAAAAGTATTGATTCTGAACTTCATTTTGCCGACTGAAGTAAGTCTCAACTGATCAATCAGTTATCTCACACAAAAGTTTACAAGTTTTTGTCAGTCAAGGGCATGGCGTTTGTCAATGTAAAAAACATGAAGACCAACATTAACAAAATGATGTAAGATATATTTAGTTTTCTTGGTTTAAAAAACAATATAAATCATGTAGTATATATGTTAGATACTGCGTGTATGGCCTTCATGTTGAGTTCTGCTAAATATGGAACTATGTCAAGGCTGGTTCAAACTGGTTTTAGTGTTTTTGTCAGTTGTAGTTATCACATATATAATATCATACCACAGACTTTATTTTTTGTAAATAAATATTGCTTTAGTACAATATAAGTCACCATTATAATTTGCTACTAAAGCAACACCAAATGATCATGAATTAAGTGTGGAGGCAACTATTTGAACTAAATGTAGAGAGTAAATCCACAATACTTTGTAGGAAGAAGGGGGTGGAATTGGATTTTTGTCATTTCCACGTAATTGGGAATTTTTTTTTTTATTAAAAGACTCATGTCCGACATATGAAAACGATATAGCTATTTTTGTCTAAGAATAAGATCAATTCACTGACATATGTAGTTCAATTTCCCGTTTGATCATGATGAATGACAGACGTGAATGGAAATGGATTTTTAAATATTTCAATTTAACACTAATTTATCACATCATTATTTAAAATATTATTAATATATAAAATATTAATAAATATTAAAATATTTTCATAGTGAAGGATATGTTTGCCCTGATTAGGCGACCATAATTTGATTTTTAGTTTTACGGATCCGCCGACTCTAAAAATTTGCATTTCAAAAAAAAAATAAAATCGGAAATTTTCAATCCACTCGTGTCAAACCTGTGTTTTATAAAAGCAAATCAGTCAGAAACGTAAAAAAAACACATGTGCAGAATGGTAGAAGAAGGTGAGCTGTCAACTTTGATTTTATCGAGAGTCTACCAATTCTGAACCCTCCCCATTGCATGTCTCTCTCTATTTTTTTAATTGCTGTTTCTACCGATTTCGAAAAAATCCGGATTTTTTACCTTCTTCGATTTGTAAAATACCGACAAGTCAAAACAAAAATGGCTGTCATGCAGTGTTTACCGGTAGCTAATCTGCTTATTGCCACTGATAACAGGTAATAATCAAGGTGTCAACTGTGCTACCAGATGTAATTGCAGTTCTAATTGCTCATTATCCTCATAAAAAGTGTTGTTTATCAAAGACAGAGATACCAGATGTGGAAATTTCACAAAAAAATGATGGTGAATATAACGATATGAGTTCACTTGATACTTTGCTGCAAACAAGTTTATATGTGCCTAAAACAAAACAATTCCTCCATAAATAATACGATGATCAGGAAAGACATGACCTATAGTACTTTATTATTAATTTAAAGAGGAAATGAAAGCAAGTACATGGTAACTAATAAAGAGTCTGCAGAGGGAACACCGCGGATTATGAGATTCAGTGACTTAGCAAATCCTACATCAACACCAGTATATAAAAGCCCTTGAAACTGCACAGCAACTTGACAATACCTCTAGAAGTCTTCTTTGAATTTATGTAGCTAAACAGGGTAATAAAGTTTCTGAATTTCAAAATATAATATTAGCAGATTATAACAGGACTACAATAATTCTTTGATATCATATGTACAAAGAGTAAAAAAAAAAAGAATGCAGGATCTAAGAATCTATCTAATTCATTCTCAATAGATTACAGATGTAATTTTTAAAAATGTTTTAAGTTTTAAGTTTGGCTAGCAGGTACTTCCAATTCCTTCAATTTCAGATCTTTATTAAATCCAGGAAACAGTTCTCTTGCTCCTTATAATAAGAAAAATTCATTCATCCATCAGTTGAAAGCTGGAAACTCAGACCGTCTGCAGAATTTTATTAATTCGTTTAATTGCCAAGTTAAACTTTAATATTTACCCTGAATATTATTCAAATGACACTCAAATGAATGTGCAAACTATACAGTGCAGAACATAATTAAATTTTTATAATTTCAAATATTACATGGTACTCATATTAAACAATGTTTGGATTAAAAGTTGTAGTTTTTATAAATAAAAACATTTATACATGTAATGTATATTAATATTAAAAAAACATATCTTGTAATTTGTTTTTTGTTTTGTTTTATACTTCAGTGAAATGTGACGTGACTTTTTATATGTGAAAAGGGTCGTTGCTAGAATGATTTTTGTCTTTTTTTTTTTTTTTTTTTTTTTTCGTCCTCCGACTTGACCTTTGTTGAAAAAAAATCCGTAAAACTAAAAATCAAATTATGGTCGCCTTACAAGCCTGCATTGATTTTGCACCAATTTTACCTGTAATTTTTAACCAGAGGTATCAAATATTTGCACGTGGATTTTGTTTTTTGTTTTGACAAATCACTTATGTTCTCTGTGTTGAACAGTTCATGTGTTTTTGTATGCTAGAGTCGGGGGGGGGGGGTCCAAAATGATCAACACGGTAATATACCTATTAACTTATGTTTTAAATACGGTAAATCATCTTTTTTTCAAAAGTAGAAAAGATTCTGGTCATCTTAACACTACTCTTGTCATTTGCTGGACTTATATTTGGAGTCTGAGTTCCTATATTCCCTAACATTTTAATTATTTCTAAATATTGACCTCACAAGTTTTTTCTTTTTATGAACAAAGATGACATGCTGTGGCTAATTATAATAATTCTAGCAATGTTGCATAGAAGAAAGAAAATCACATATTTAAGGTAAGGGGTAACTCGGCATAGCAGGACTGTATAAATGAATTGTACATTAATCATGTTAATTGGACTTGGAGGGATTCATCAACATGGAAGTGATGATTACTAATGATAGATCATAATTTAAGACGGTACTTCAAAATCGTAAACTTCTATATGTTGTGTTAATCTAATTGTTACATTAGTTATATTTTTCATGCTATAAAAAGAATTAAAACTGGATGAATGTTTTTATGTGTGTCAATGTGTCAAATCAACACAAGTAATATTGATTGAAAGAGGCCCTAAAATGAATAGCAAAACAACTAAATCATAACAATTCTGATGGTAAATATTACTTATAAACTGAGGAAATGCGAATTCAAATTAATTATGCAGCAGAAGATGCAATCTTCGTAAACACTTTGTTCGTCATTAAATTATTGGCCATGATGAAGCAAAATTGAAACCTACAAAACAAAAGGAAATGGTCGATTTACAGATTTTTAGGGCAGAATGTTGAGTTATTTCACTCTCATGATCATTCTATGTCAAATTTCTGTCCTTTTATATGATTTTCTGGGACCAAAGTTCATGAGTTCGTAAAATATGACCCACCCTTGATCGTAGTTTGTTTGGTATTTCTGTCAGCAAAATGGCGACCTTGTTCAGAAAAACAACAAAATATCGCACAAATCTACTATATACAACCTTCATTTTAAGTAAAAATGATCTTAAATATCGTATTTGAATTATCGATTCATCAATTTCCATATTAAACAAACCTGAAGACCTCTCGTTTCTTTGTTTTCTTCCTTATTTCTAGTCTGTACGTGTAACAATTATCCCCTATGACACTATTCCATTATTATAAGTCACATGATCACGATCGCATCGTATCATTGGCTAAACTGTTTACCATATGGAGGCATTCAATTGTGACGTCATAGAAGGGTCTTCTCAATGACGGATTTTCTAAAAATAGATAGAGGATGAGTAAGGAATCGCCTTTCTAACGGTATCCTGAAAATACGAGAATGACTACAACTTATTGTCAAAACAAACATATAAACTGACTAACAAAATCATTACTTAAACGTTTGATTATTTTTTTAACTGTCCGGGGATACAATTGAAAAAAAATAAGGATTTTAGTGCGTTATTCAAATAAAAATAAAAATAAATAAAGTTTTCTTCTGGCCAAAATATTTGAATTAAAAAAGAAAAGTCTATTTCCCCAAGACGTCTCGTCTCTCATTAACTTAATTTGAACACCATCCTGAAAAATATGTAAACATTCAATTTTTTAATTTACTGTTATCATAAATTCAATAATATTTTTTCTCTTTGTTTTTGTTTATTTGTTCTTGTTGACTTTTTAATCCCTACTGTACATGTAGGTCCAGGGCGAAGCCCTGGTGGGGGGCCAGGGGGCGAAGCATCCGGAAGCTCCTGGATTTTACGAAATGTTTCAGTCATTTTTCTTTAAAAGAAATCACGCTACAGCTCTTTTCTCAAGCAAACACTTAGCTAAGTTATACCTCCATGGATACTTCCGGAAGAGAAGGATAATTTAATCAAATTAATTTACGAATATATTGGTATTAGAAAAAAAGTTTCCAAGTGTGACAAGATTAAACAGAGAAGTAATTTAATAAGTTATCATTGGCGTTAAAGTATTTCAAAATATAAACGGGGGTTTGGGTCTTTTGATAACCTTTATATTCTGTTAGCTTAAACAGTGTGAGAGTAGTTAAATTCTATAAACTGGTAACATCGGTAAAATAAGATATTCATAAATGATTTATGTTTACTTTGTTCAATAATTTGAATTTTGTTTTTTTGTTTTTTTGTTTTGTTTTGTTTTTTTTTTTTTTTTTTTGTTTATCGGTATTTATTCATTACTTCAACGGATATTCTTGTGTAGTCGTCCAAAACCCTTGTAACTTTTTCTTTAAATCAATGTCACTTAGATCGCTTTCCTTCATCAAATACATGCATTTCTCCGGATAATCAGGATTACGCGGATTTACAGTTGACATTTTTTATTCAACAATATTTTCTTACTCAAGAATTTTTGAATTCAATTTATAAAAGACTTGATTATAACGATATATTCTGAACAAAATTTGAATAGAAACAATAAGACGTAAAATAATTTGAAAGACAGATAGCGCCTCTTTTTCTCCGAATAAATCTTTCTCTTTCTTTTTTATTCTTTTTTCTTTCTTTCTTTTCTTTCTTTTTTTTTTTTTGAAATTGATGTGTACGCACTTGCGTACTTGCGTATAGGCAGCTACGCGCCTGATTGTCATCGTTACATGGCGTACTTATATAACTTAATATAATTATATCTGTTACAATTAAACAGGATTTCATTTAAGTGGACGAAAAGCTACAATGTTCAAATACATAATGTAATAAATCAAAATAAACATGCTATATATGCACGCCTTTGTTCCATGTAACACCCTATAACCTTTTCTTCCCACCCGGAAGCTTTCGTACATGTATTTTTGATCCTACTTTATGGCATCTTTAGACACGTGTTTATAAAAAATTGCCTTCGGGCATAGATCATCAACACAAAGAAAACAAAAAGTACTTTGACAGTTAAAAAATATTAAAGCATTATTAACCTTTTCAATTACTCCGATATTGTGTACAAATGGACAAACATGATACACCTTACAGTACGGTCAACGCGGATTAGGCATTAAACCGCGCTCCCCCCGCGGTGTTTTGATCCTTTCCGCGATACACCCCCGCGGTTATTTCATCGCGGTCCTACCTGTACCCAGGTATAGACCGCGGCGGTGTGACTTACCGTTGACTGGCTCATCGGATTTATTTTACCTGTACGGCCGTATAATATCTATAACTGCATATTGTTCGGTCTGTAAAATTGCAGGTTTTGAGTAAAAAAAAAATCGAGCTATTAAAAATATTATACAATGTAACTACTACCCGAAGAATTTAACAAAAAAATCAAACAAAACAAACAAAACAAACAAACAAAAAC